GTATTATGTTTCTATTGTCTTTTTTTTACTCTTGGTTGTGTTTTATGATTTTATTACTGACTGTGCATATCTGTTTGTTTTGTTGGTTGTGTCTTAAGAATGGGTTTCATGACTATGATTGTTTCTTGTTCTTGGTCTATATTGAAAGAGAGATTGTGATCTCAATGAGACTACCTGAATATATGTATGTATAACGTTTAAAAAATAAGTCTGGAGGTGGAGCTCCAGCTTGTAAAGGTCCATCAGCCACAGTGATCCCAGAGGTTTGCTCTGTATAACTATTCAATAAATTGAGGACAAACTGCATCAAAGAGCTGGTCAGTGGCATAGGAAAGCAAAATACAACTGCTATATGACCACAATAACAGTCATCCACAAAGAAACAGCAACTTGTGGAAGAGCAGAACGCAGCAGTGTCCTTCTTCTGTACCAATGTCATAGCACTGAACAAGAGCAGCTGAAAAATATACACTGCAGCAGCAGAAACATGGTCTTCATCCTAAACACCAAAGGTATAATTTTCATTTCCTGGAGGACATTGCAGCTTAGATGGAACCTGCTGCCATGGTGACAGTGGACAGGAGATGCTGCAGATGAGGTAATTGTCTATTATTTTTTTTTTATGTTGACCTTTCATGACAGAGGATACCAGGTTAAGATGTAACAGATGTACAGATGATGAATGTTGTGCTTCTGAACTTCTACAAGTCACAGATCAGAAAAAAAGGATGATAACATTTAAAGAAGCAGAAACATCCTGACTACTAGCTTCTATTAAAAATACAGGATCATAGATGTTTTATTTGTTTGTTCTTGCAGATATTTGATGATTTTATTAAACCGTAGGGAGATGATAGGTAATGAGAAAACAGAGAGACCTGTCAGAGATCTCTATTGTGTTCGCTGCTTTAAGCCCCAGGCCACTAGGGTACCCCCACAGAAGAGTGGTCTCCTGCATAACCACACTTACTGAAAACCAGTAAAACCAGTGTAAGGATTCTTTCATTTATTTAAAGATACTTTTTGTGAGAGAAGAACAGATCTGGACTTGTACAAGTGGACTTCTATTAATAAACCTGTGTTTCTGCAACTGGTTGTTTAATAACTGGAAGGCTCCTGCAACAACAAAGCAAATTCCCCATATGTCTCTTACTTCTCACCCTTCCCCACTGTCAGTACAATATTCTGCAACCCCCTGCTTACCTTTCCATGCATGAGGAGGCGAATGGTAAGGGTGACATTGAGGCCACCCTCTGGCTGGACTTTGATGGGCTCCATACTGTGGGAGGTAAGACTGGTCCTGGAATGGGGTGACCTCAGAAGGAGAAGGTGCAGGGTGGTATTGCAGCCAGCCAGTCACCTGCCAAACCATCATCACACAAACACACAAGTTGACACTATGACACACAGGTATATTCCTATATTTAATCGGGTAGAACATGCTAGACAACACAAACCTCAGTTCTGTTGCATTAAAATACTGGTTGCCTGGAAAAGCAAGTGAGGATCCAGTGAAAACGTTCCCCTAAGGATTTTTTCTATTTATCTTTTCAAAAGTAAAAAAAAAAGTTTTAATTGGTGTCCAACTCACAAGAAGGAACAATGCTTCTAGCCATTTACATAGTCAGTGTTAGAAATTTGAGATGCTCAGTGGTTTGAAAATCCAAATACTGATCATTACAGGAACTAAACCATGCACTAAACCTCTAGCCATTAATATCTCTAAAGGGGCAGCATAATGACTTGCAGAAACCTTGATGGCAAACTCTGGTTTATAATGTCTCTGTAAGTCAGACCTAAAAGTTTCCCTCCACTGCCCTCATTAGTTCCTAGAAGACATAGGCAAACAGCACACATGCATGGATGGCTGTGCTAAAAAAGCTAAAGTTACTTTTCATTTGAATAAGTTGTAAGAAATGTTCTAATGTTCTGTTCATTGCAATGTGTTATATATCATACTAAGTCCCTATGTTTATTACAGAGAAATCATGTAAGAGTGAATGTAAGATCTTCTGCATGGTTGCCAAGTCTGGACTGACCTTTATTTATTTGAATCATTTGATCACAAGAGGTGTTCTCTATCCATGTCATTTCACACAGACAGCTTGATCCAGATGATAATTTCAAGTCACCAACAGATGGTGCTGTCTTCACCCACTGTTGACTTTCTGTTGTTATCATTGCTTGGCCAAGCCACAGGCTGTTGTCATCTGTCTCTGCAGACTATAGCTGAGGTGTTCCAGTGTCTTGGGCGAACTCTTTAGCCACAGGTTTACACCTACATGTAATTTTCAGCCAAACACAACGTGTTTTTGTACCTACTAGAAAAAGTATAGGAGAAAAACCTCCCCTGTATAACACTGACTACAAACTGTTTTAAGTTGTCAGATTGCCCTATTAAAAAGAAAAACTAAAGATTTATCAAACTGGTGAAATACCCTGCCTTCTACACACCCCCATTTCAAAACTAACTCCACTAAAGGCCTTTGGGAAGGAAGGCAAAGCAATCAATTATTGTTGCCATTGTTACTACACAGAGAAACGATGAATGACCTGAAGGAATGGGAAATGAAGCCATCAACACTATACAGCACAGCAAATTGGAAATGATATCCAACTGAAACAATTATGAAAGTGAGCTCAGTTCAGCTAGTTAGCATTAGGTGTCAGATCTCATCGACGGGAGGTGGGCATGTAGACCTCAGGTGGGAAAAAGAAAAGCTACTGCACAACAACCCCAGTGGGAAATGATCTAACAGAGATATGGATGGTAACCAAATATCCTCCATGAAGAACTAGAGGTTGACTTTTCCCAACAGTGTGAGTAAAACTACCTTCTGTTTGTGCCTTGTGTTAGTAGTTTGACTGCTGCAGGTTAAATGTTCCCCCGTGACTTAATGGTCTGTGCAGGTATACTGATACAGATGTTACAGGCCAGTGTGTCTCACCGTGAACACACTTAAACATTGTCAGGGCCCACCTTTTCACTGTGTGCGACTGTGATGGTCTGGTAGTTGCTGTTTTTGGTTTTAGGACCTTGTATAATGTGTAGTTGACTTTATAAAGTCATTAGAAAAGGGATACTGTAAACTATATGTGAGGTAGGCAAGTGATGTACTTGATAGACTCTTATAGGTTTATGTTATTTGAATGATTACTGCAGTGTTGTTCCACTATCATCACCATGCAAGCAGATTGTTGTTACTGTAGCCTTCTGGGTTTTTATGTAAGGATCTTTCTGTCCAGGCTCACTCAGTTTGCCAGACCAGGTCCTTGGTGAAAAGTAGCCCCAGAAAAACAATATGCTGAAGTGCCTTATGATCTCCTGCTAATGTCTTGTTTTGTGCTTTTTTTTTTTTAGCATCGTCCTTATCGGATTCATTAATAAATAAGACAAAGTAGCATAACTGAAATCATTAACATACAGGACATTAATTTATTTAATATAGTTGAACAATTTGCACAGCTGGTGTTTGGCAGAAAGAAAACACAAAAATGAAACTGTTCCTTACCTGCAGCCAATTTCAGATATTTTTCAAATTAATTTGGACACCAGATAACTGCCAACCTGATGCCAACCAGGCTTACTAGCAACACATGATGAAAAATTGGCCAAAAAAAAGAATCATACAGGCTAACACATCATGTGTTTCACAGGTCTAATGGTCGCAGTGGGTTTAAAGGTGGCAGACAGTGGGATGCATGAAGCAATTCAAGGCTCTAACGCGTTCTTGTGTCACATAACTATTAACTGTCTAGGCTCTGTCCACCCACACATCTGTTCACTTGTGTCCTATCCTTAACAAAAAACTCAAATACCAGTGTTTGCCTTGTGTTCATGTTAGCTTTGGATTGTGGTGGTGAACATTGTTTACTGAGTCTTATTGTTGCATTATGATTTTCTTCATATTTAACTTATGTCACAATCTGCTATCCCTCCACTGAGCCACCATTTCATTACTTATGCAGTTTCCCTTGCTGTTTGAAAAGGATGTTTGTATTACTGCCTTGTTTAAGGGCACAGCGTGCCTTTATGCAGTTATTCTGTCATTTTACTTATGGAACAGTTTGCAAAAACTACTTAAGATTCAGGTAGGTTCAGGATATTAGGCTAAAACCAAATGAAAATGATATACAGTAAAAAGACCATGAGAGCAATGAGAGCGTGAACCTCTTTGCTGTCACCAGGCTAGTTATCGTCAATGTGCAGCTCACAGAGCTTAACGCTTTATAGAACTGTGCAGCAGTTTGGGGCACTAAAAGCATAATGGCATGAAAATGTATCAACTAACTTCATACAAAATGCAGTAGAGGGAAAAAAGTCTAATTCAGTTCAAGATTAGATGTGCCTGTCTTTTGTCATTAAAACAGCACCAGCTGTCCTCAGTACACCTGCTCACAGTTTTCCAAAGTACTTGGCAGGTAGGTTGTATCAAGCATCGTGGAGAACTTTATTCTGTCTCTTCATATAATCCCAGACTGACTTCATGATGTGAGATCAGTGCTCTATGGGGGCCACACCATCTGTTGTAGGACTTGTTCTCCTTCTCGTCACTGAGGACAGTTCTTTATAACTCTGGCTGTGAGGTTGGTATTGTTGCCCTGCTGGAGAATGAGCAGACCCTCCCTGATGGTGTTATGCTATGGTTGAGATTCTTCACATAATTTGCTCTACATGCCAAAACATAGAAAGTTTTAACCAGAAACATCATGTTAAGCTGTGTTTTTGTCTTTGATACCTGACAGACAGTTGTGTAGCAAAGGCATCAAACTTTACTGAGGACCTGTGAATATTTCTGTAAAACATTTTATATCTAACTGATTTGAGTTTGTGCTGATAATTCAGAAGAAGTACTGAATGTCCAGTTCATCGTTGCTGGTGTCCATTCATTATGTTTCCAAGGACAACCAGGCCTTTAGAGATGCAATTATCCTTTGATATACAATGAAGGTGCAGCAGCGGCAACATAAAGCTTGTGTGATGCCATGCAGTAATAGGAATAACAAATACATTGTTATAGGAATTCCACTGATTATTACTTTGTGTAGCTGTTTATTGTCCTCCCTGCCTCGACAGCCCTGTGCATGTATAAAACTATAACTGTGTGCAGGATTGTTATTTGTCGATTTATCAGATATATTGCTGTTTAAATGAATGAGTCACATAAATTCTAATAGACTGAAATTAATTTGACTAATAGGTTGCTGATGATGACATGCCTATTAGGTCAGTGGATTGTTTATGTTGCGGTTTTTTGTTAAATGAAAAAAATTAATCATTTTAGAATTGACAGAATAAGTTATATACGAGTATCATAACATCTGCTCTATCAAACACATGATAGGTTGTATTAAAGCCCTATATGTTTCTTTTTGTTTGCTGTGTGGATGTGCGTGCTGTTATAAATGGCCCATTTGCACTCTGTTCACATTCACAAAGGAGAATTGCCACTGTCAGGCACTAATGCACTCAGTAGTCACAAAGCAGACATCTGGATGAAAGCTTCCATCATAAATAAAACTCTCCATCTTATCCCTGCGATTTTGGTTATATTAAGCTGTCATTCCGCTGCCACCGGGAACCGTACCAAAAGCATACCGCACTGGTGTTTGCGTGTTTCCACTGTCTCAGAATCAGCCTGTCTGGGCCAATAGCCAGCCAGCTGGCCTGAGTATGGTATGGTTCCTGGTGGCAGTGGAATGACAGTTTCATATAGATTTGTTGTTTTTGATATTGCTATTGGACAGCATTTTAGAACAAAGTGCATCTTTATTAGATGCATCACATGTTTTGAGCATCCCCTTCGTTGTGAAGTTACAGATGAGGAGTTACGTTGTAAAGATTTGGAACCATTATAAAGTATTTTACTTACAGTAGCAAAGGTTTACAGTTCTGCACAAAATGGCATCCAGAGTATTTTACCAAGCACTTGGTTCTTCTGCCTCCTATAGTTCTATGTTTCTAAATATAGAAGAGGATCAATTAAGTGCATTTGTTTTCTGGGAACATTTGAGATGATAACCTTGTCATCCTTTTGTTTGTGTTAAATGTCACTTGCTAGCTGCAGTGGCCTATTAGCACATTCCCTCTGTAGGAATTCACTTTGAAATTTCAAAATGGTCTCTCAGCAACTAAGAGCCTTGATGTGTTTAGGGAAATAAGTAGTTGGAGAGCAGAAAGGGAAGACCGAATATGCCCACATACACACATACTGAGGGGTCCTTTGTTAGTGCAGGTCTGTCTGCAAGCAGCCACCGCAACCCTACCAGACCCTTCCATTTGTGCCAAAGGTTGGCTGTGAACCTGTCGTCTCCAATCAGTGGTTGACATCTCAACCCAAATTACAATCACAAGCTGATGGTCCCTTGCATTGTTCCTCTGCCAGCTAGCATTAGCTTGGAGGGATAACAGTGTGATTGGTGTGTGTGCTAAGAGCTGACAGTCCCATCTGTGCTTTGACCAGTACACTGAAAGGACATTGCTCATTTTCTGTGCTATTGGTAATCATTGTTAATGGTGAACTAATGTATCCTACCAACCCATTAGATAATAATCTAGACATAGCAAACATCTATTCATTTTTCATATAGAAAAAATGCTTCAGTTTTGTAGCTGCATCATGAAATGAAATCCATGCTACAGACATGATAAGACTATCATTTAACATGTCACACTGAGCACACACCCACACTTAAACTCAGACATAATAATGTACTTTCATGTTTTTTATATTAAATGAAAGAATTTCAGGGCAGCAAAATAACACATGAGAAAAGGAATAATCATTAAGGTTCAATCAACAGATATGCAGTAGTTCAAGAACAAAGCCTATGATTTCTTGAATCCGTCATTCTAATAAGTAAGTCAAAAATTAACATGATAGGACAGAACATCTCCTGCAATCAGGGCGATTTACTGGAAAACTTTAAAGTTGTTGCCTGCTCAGATTGCCCCCCAAAAAGGTGTCACACTGCATATACATATGAATAATCGCCAAGCAGAAGGGCCTGGGAACTAGACATCTGCAATCTGAGAGTCATAACCCTTGACCAAACTCATTTGTGACCTCATACATAAATATTTAGGAAGTATTTACTGTACCTTTTGCAGTTGACAACCACATCAGCTGGTAACAAAAGATATAAGCATAATGGAAGTGAAATATTATATCCCCTATCCAAAGATGAAATGCAAAGCTGGCAAGCCATTGGCCAAGGCATGGAGTCATGTGGGTGATGCATCACAAGTCGTGATGTCACATTTGCCCATTACCCCAACCGGTCTAGCCCGTTTATCATGCTTTGACCATTTCATGGGCAAGTGTTCTCTACATGGACAGAAGATGTGATGGGTGCCCCAGATTAGGATGCCCCTCAGGGTCTGGGTAGGGAGGTTGAACAGTTAGAATGGGTGCCTGGATATTCTGCGTGGCACATCAGTGAAGCCATCAGACATGCTAGCTCAGTGCTGCTTGCTGCTGAAATCAGCTTTTATACTGCCCTTCTGATTCTGTGTACCCTGCAGTATTGGGGTGATATGTAAATCTGACCATTGATCCTAAAGCGGCCCTTAACCCAGTTCACTGTGTCACTGTTAGGGACTACATTTACAAACCCAGCTGTAAATGAACTGTAGAGCTTTGGTTCACAATGGAATTCAATAGTAACCTTGAACTATATTACTGCTAATACCTATTACAACTGCATTCATGCTGCTCCAGTCAGGTAACTTGCTACATACAAATGACCTTACAGATGGGATTTTATCCCTCTGTCTTGCTACTAGCAAACAGGGTACTAATCTGTCTGCCTAAAGACTCCGTCCAAGATATTGTCTGGTGTATTTTTTGATTGACAGATAACGCCTATGCAATTACTTTCAAAGTCAGCAACAACATTTGCAAACCTTAATCTTATCTTTTTGTGCTACTTTAATGCATGCTTTATTAATTTCTCCCCATGCTGGTAGCACATGCACCTGCCAGTGCCTGTAAATCACTGATATGTCACTGATATCAGATGTCAGTGAGTGTATCTATAATATAATGTAGCTTTAAACATCAGTACATCGCTAAAAATTGTAATGCTTTGGGCTGAAATGGTCTTAAGCAAAGGAGGTCATGTTCAGTTTTAAGCGTTCCCAGAAACCTTGTAGAGCCAGAACACCATTCAAACAATATCATAACACATTAATGAAAAATGTGCCCAAGGCAATGCTTTAGATAACTTTATAGCTCAAGGCACAAATCTGATTCATTTGCAAATTGTCTAATACGTATCATCAGCTTTAAATGATGCTCCAGCCTAACTGACCTAGTTTTGTATGACTTATTTTAATTGATGATATATCATTATATACTGTAGAGGTCCAAGTTAATGGAGGCTGCGGCTTGTAAAGTACACACATTGTGTAATGGGCCTTAACACTGATAAAGTATAACACTAAGACAGTGTTGTCATATTGCTATAATACTTAGCACAGAGCTGACCATAAGTGAGCCTCACACTCTTTATGGTGCACACACATTTTGGCTTTGGCTCCATACACGTGGAAATCCATTAACATTCATTCAACTGAGATCTGTCATCATCTTTTGTAGGTTACGACACTGGTTTTTCATAACAGTCAACAGTTTGGTCTAGCTGATCAATAGGGCTAATTGGCTTTGCCAGTGACGACGACTGTGCAGCAGGATAAAAATGAGAAACCTGACAGATAAATCATTCAGATTAGATCAATGAATTCAATCTAAGCAAATATAAATGATGAAGCAGTAATATGATTTGTCCATTTTGTCTTTTTTATTCTGTAAATTATCATTCATTTAGTCTATAAAAATTAGAAAATTAAATAATTCATAACATCTGTTTACAACTTGAATGTACAGTATTATTAGAGTCAGATCTTGGACTCAAACATGGTGCCCACTCACCTGGAGCATTGGCCAAAAAACGAAAGAAAACAAAACTCTCCTAGGTTTGTTTCCTCACTGTGTGGCCCATTGCATGTGCACATTAACATTTACCCTGCAGACCTCACTTGTGTGTTCCCATTTAGCCCATAGACCTTAGCTACATTAGGATGATATCACAAAAGTGTAGGGTTTTTTTCCTAGGCTCTGGGAAGCTTGGCTCATTCACAACAATTCACTATAATCATCATAACAAGCACTGTATGAGTTTAGTGACTGGAGGAATGGAACCAGGCATTTTGACTGTGGTGAGAGTGGAGATGTCACATTTCTACCAGTTTGTTGTTGTGTTTTTCCTGTTTGAATAAATAATATACACATACTGTAAATAAATCCTACAGCTCTGTTAGCAAGATTTTTCATTTGTTTATAGACCTAAATTGACCATAATCGTTGTGCGTACAGCACCGAGGCTTAGTAATGACACAAATTTTATGAAAAAATGGTGAGCAGACATTTGTTTGTTGCCCTGCCTTCCAACCAAACAAAATCATATGATTGGAAGGTAAGGCTAATTCAGAAACACTGACAATGGTGCAGCCTTCATCAACCATCATCCATTTGACAGCCTAAAACCAGAACATCTGCTTGCATAAAGTTCTCTGCAATGGCAGGAAGAAAATCCCATCAGTCTGTCCCATCAAATAAATGTCATCACTTACCAGATTTGTGCTGGGTCTTGTGTTTCCAGGGCATATAGGACACCAGAGCAAAGTGGTCTCACACAGACACAGACCAGTTCACCTTCCAGCCTTTGGACGTCCCTTCAGGAAGATAGGCAGCCCATGCTACAGTGAAGCAAGAGAGAATACATTTCTTTATTAAATGTATGTGTATGCAAGTTTATTTGTGTACAAGACGTGATTCCATGATTGTTTTTGGTTATTTATCTAAATTATATTAGCAGTGTTGATTCTTCAGTACATGGTTTGCTTTCCTTCGTGGCAGAGCTTGTGTTTCTGCTTTATTAATACACTTTAAAGCAAACCACTACAATCAGCCCATCAGTCATGTTGTGCATAGTGTGTGTAAGCAATAACAATTAAAAAGTGTGTCTGACCAAAGAGGGATCCCAAAAGTCTCCTAGGTTTTTTCTTCCATGTCATGTGACCTATGGCTGGCAGCCTTCCAGCAGAATGAGGAGACTGGATGTCTTGCTGATCCACCTAAACAGATCACAAGGTTAAGACATGAAAGCATGATAAACAGTGGTAACATGCTAGTGAGCCAAGGTGGCTTTTTTTTACAGTTAAGCATGGCTGAATCATAGGGATCTAACAGATCGAAATAGTGGTGCAAGATTATGAAAATTAAATGAATCACATTTTGTCCACTTACTTTACTTGCCTAGTGCATACAGACTCACCAGACATAGTGCCACGAGTATTCATAAAGTCATATTTTTGGCTATTTGATAAATTTGTCACATACTCTCTTTTTGGGTCCCTACCAACTCCTGAGACATATTAGTGTTTATCTTGAAAATCCCCAGTTTGATTTAGTATCACTAACTCTGGCTTTCCTGCTGCTTGGTGCTGGACAGGTAGCGGGTTAATCAGAGCCTGTCTGCAGGAAACAGCTGCCTGCAGGGGCTTGATAAGAGTTGGTCCGACTCATTGTTGCAGTGAATAGGCAGACTGGAAAATTAAAACAGTGAGCCAAAATATGTATATATTATCACAAGTTAAAACTAGTGCTAAATACAGTAAATGCAAGTGCTCCATTGAAAATGAATTGTTTAGGTAAAAGTACAGATGCAGCAAGATACATGTGGGGATGATCTGTTACACTGTGAATATGTTTAGTCAGCGTTTAATATTGTCACTGGTTCAGCCACAGCATTTAAATTTCAAAAGAGATGTGCTTTGTATTTTTTGGTAAATAAAAACAACAACAACAATAATATCAAAATCAAACTGGGCCCTAAAAGATGAGGAAACTCAAAATACAGCAAACAAAACACAACTTACCTAACAAATGACACAAATGGGGAACATATATAGTGGCTGGCCAAACCAGTAACACACACGGGGAATAGACAAAGGCACTAACTAAATAATGTACCAATAAACACTGAACAGACAGTCTGCTAAAAACTAAATATTTCATCTTAGGTGTAAAAAAAAGAAAACATAACTTGACAAATAATGTTTTTACATAAACTACAAACAAATAAACAATATATTTCTCCGAACCCCAAGCACAACTACATTTCAGAGAAAAATAGTGTACTCTGTACTCACTACATTTATTTGATAACTTTAGTTACTTGTTGCTTTTCAGAAAGAGGTTAATAAAACAAAATAAAATGTAATCACCTGGCTTTATTGTTCCTTGGTGTAAAATCCACAAACAAATAATATGAGATGCTTCAATGTAAACTGTCATTTTGCATAAGGAATATTTTTACTTTTGGTACATTAGGTATGTTTTCCGTCAATACTTTTGTACTAAAGTAACATTTTGAATGCAACACCTTTAACTGAGTATTTCTACATTTGGTATTGCTGCTTAAGTAAATAATCTGAGTACTTCTTCCAGTTTTAACAACTTGAATGTTTGTCCCTTGCTGTACTGTTGTGTATGAAGTAAAGAATGAGTACTGTGGACCAGTGGTAGCTGAACTCAGGTATAAAGTTACACTGCATCAACAAACTCAGTGTTTATGTAATGTTTATAATATATAGATTTACTAACTTTAGTAATAAATATTCATTGATACTTTGCATCTATAATTTTCTTAAGCCATACTTTAGAAACTGATTCTTTTTCACAAAAGCAAATGTGTTGTGATCTATGAGAATCCTTTTGTAAATGATTGAGTATTGATATTAATTAATTCTACTGTAATGTTTATAATATATAGATTTACTGAATCATTTACATTTTAATTGTCCTATGGAAATGAAATGTCCTGTGCATCTGAGGCATTAATTAATCTCTATATAACAGACACATGTGCTTGATCGTTCTGAGGGTCTGCATTATTATTTAAATTTGTTCATTGCTTAGGTTTTCTACAACTACAAGCCAATTGTGAGGACAGTCAAAGTGATGGATGAAAGCTGAAACTGGACTATGGCACAGGCTGTGGAGAGCATTGGAGTGAAACCATTTACTACACGTGTTCAGAGAAATCAAATACAGTGCCACCACTTACTTTGCTGCGTCTTGCCAACAGAAGTGTATTTAGATCAAATCACCCGTGGACCCCATAAATCTGTTAGAGAGGGAAGTACTGCTTTAAAGGCAATATGTAATGTCTGAGAGTACAGCTTGCACTGCTCTGCTGTTAGAATGAATTATTACATTATCATACTGTGTGAGGTGAATGTTGGTAGGGTTCAGTTTTCAATTTAACCAAAATGGCTAAATGAGTCATCAGTGGAAACAAGCTTATGTTTCTTACAATGTGCAGATGAGATCGCAGACAGCAGTCCAGGGGAGGAGAGGACGGGAGAGGAAACCCTGTGAATGACATATACATCAGTTCTCATTTTGATTTCAGTGTGACTTTACTTTTCTACAGTAACAGCTCCCTCTATCACCATCTGCCCACACAGTGCCCCACTGGGTAGTGTGAGCACATACGACAATAAATACACACATATATGCACCCTGGATTTGACCCCTTACTGTGTCCCTATATAAACCTGCCCTACCTTTAATCATAGCCACTACTTGCCTAACCCGTACCCTGCCCAAGTAATTACTCCCAAATTCAGTGATCATCTTTTGGGGGTTTGCTTTTTGACCCCAGAAGGATGTTGAGTCCCCAAAATGTGATTTATGTCCCCACAAGATGAGGAATACCAGCCCATGCATGCACACACATACTGTACACAAAGAAAGGGTTTGAGCTCCTCTTTGTGCTGGCAAGCCTTTCTCTTCAGAAGGGGATCGCTGCCCTCTGTTGGTGCTTCATGTGACAAACACCATTCAGTTAGAAGCAAATGTGAATTAAGGAGTTGCTGCTGTTTTGTTTTTGAAAGTAAATGTAAAAACAGGTACTAGAGTGGCATACAGTACTGCTCATATATTTCTCACATGAAGAGTAAGTTGATTAGTTGATTGACAGGTAAATAAATGGCAATTGTTTTATTATTCAGTTAAATGAAGTCACTGCTCAAGCAAAACTGTCAACAATTACCTAGTTCCAGCTTCTCTGTTGTAAGGATTTGTTGCTTATCTTTCTGATATTTAATAGAAAGCTGACTATTTTAAGTTATGGAAAACAATTCAAAGGCACGACCTTGACATCATGAAGACTAAACAGTTAATTGAGAAAATCAGTGCATGTAACTTGACTGCTCATAGTAAAATTGTTAGTTGTAGCCCTGATGAAGCGTGGCATTTAGGAAACATGAACAGGCTTCAAAATAATGAAGTTTGTGATTTCTAGGGACTGGTCAAGGTGTATTTAAAAAACAAAAACAAATGACCAGCTGATTTACTGAAACAGAACTGAACTAATATGGGAAAGCCTCTACATCAGTTTTAATTTAAAACTCAGAATAATTGCTAAAAGTCAGTTGCTACATACTCCAAAGCATTACAATGGAAAATACCCCAAAATAACATTCAGTAGAAATGTACTTGAAGTGCTTCTTAGGATTATGTATTAGGTTAAAATATGCAAACCTTCACAGGGACTTTAATAGTTTTAGAATAGTTTGTAAATACCATACAGTAAAACACACACACACACACGGAGACCTACTAATCTCATCCTCAGAAGCGGGGTGGTGATCTGATCTTTCCTTAGCTTGAGCACTGCACTGAGGAATGGGTGGCGGTGTGAAGGTCCCCAGAGGTGAAACTCTATTAGCAAGCAGCATGAAAGTCAGTGAAAAGGACCCCAGTGAGCTCCAGTCCCCTGACATTAATGTTTAATGATAACTAAAAAGCCTAATACTCATCCCCCTTCCTTCGCTTTTGCTCTTATCCCCTCATTAAATAGCCTCACCCTCTCAGATTAGAGCACTGACCCCATCTGCTGAAGGGCTAACCTTTCACTGATGGAAAACACATTCTCTCTCTCTCTCTGGCTGTTTTTACACATGATTTCCAGACTATGTCCACGGACTCAGGACCAGACTTTGTCTAGAGTTGCCCTTTCACACACAACGGGAGATAATCTGGGTAGAGCCGCAGGATGCGGGACCTGACATGGTCAGTAGTCAGATTGTAATTTGGTCATAAACAACTTGGTCTCTTGCCTTGTCTGACGATCCTGGCACCGGCTCTTAATGACAGAATCTCTCAAATCTTATCCAGTGACGTGCGGTGAGGTTGACAGCTGGTGAGGCACTAAATCTTTTACAGTCAGATTTACAAATACAAATTGTCTGTTAACAGACAATGCGTTATGTTTTATATCTCATATCAACATTCTTCACACAAACGTGACCCATATTTAATTTGAGGATAAAATTTATTCCAGTTGAGCTTATTTCTAACTAGAAATAATAAAAGTTTATGGTCTTACCTTTACTTGTACACGAAATCCATTTGTCAGCTGGTAT